GGTAAACCGTAGGCAGAGAGAGAGAAGAGGACAACAAACGAGGGGCTGTGACAAACTGTTTCGTCGGAGTTTCATATATATAAGCACGTGAAGTAGAAGAAGAATAAGATGAGCGAATATATATAGAGAGAGAGCGAGAGAGAGAGGGAGAAGAGCAAGCAGGACAGACAGACAGACAGGCAGGCATAGATGGACAATGTGTGTGAGTGAGTGAGTCTGCCTCTGAGAGAGAGAGAGAGAGAGAGAGAGAGAGAGAGAGACCGAGAGATCTTTTACTGTTTTCAAAAAAGAATGAATTGCATTCCAATCCTGTCAGTATCCCTCACCAAGGCATCATTTCGCCGACATGTCCCTCGGTGAGAAATCCTTTTCAGAGACATCCTGACAGAGAAAACGTTTTCAGACTTCCACGTCACCCCCTCAATGGTTGGCAAGTTGGCTACTGAATTACTGAATCTAATTGGTCCATTCCACCTTCTACCCGAAATCAATCAATATAGGGTCTTGAGAGTTTTGACTCTTTCGACCTTCGCCTTGAATTTCTGTGTCTTTGCCTCCGTCCGCTCCATGATACTCAGAGCCTTCTCCATAGCCTTCTCCTTCCGCACCGTCACTCTCTTTCTCACCTGCCCCATCTTCTTCCCTTTCATCTTCTTCACCTGTCCTTTCTGAACACCCCCAACTTTTGCAGTTTGCCCAAGTGCATCAACCACAACTTCAGATGTGTCCATCACCGCCGACGACGGTGCTTTCGACGACGCCGCAGTACTTTTGTCACCATCCACTTCCATCATATTCTTGTCCTTCTTCCGCTGCCGCTTTCCCATCGTGCTCAGTCAGCACAGGGAATCACTCTGTGTAGTACTGTGTACCTATCCCCTTAGAAAGCTGATGAGAAGGGGGAAAGAGAGACGAGCGGAGCGGAGCGGAGTTGAATGACAGATGAGGCGAACTTGGCTCTCACACTCTTCTTTAGGACTACTGATCCGTGTGAGACAGATACTGAGAACCTGCACCATGCAAAAAACAAGACCACGTTCACCCGCACAAAGAAGAACAGTGAAAACAGTGGTCATAGACTGCCTTCGCGTACACGCATCAATAGATTTGCACTACTTCTCAGCATGTACACTTCTCAGCGTGAAACCGCGCAATTCCCCCCCCCCCCCCCCCCCCCCCCCCCC